CAAAAAAGTGAATTAATTTTAAAATAATAAAAGTATTTAATTCTTTCTTATTTGTAATTTTTAAAAAAAGAATTGAGCTCTCCCTCTCTCTCCCCCTCCCCCTCTCCATCTTTCTATTTTTTTATAGTAATAAGATTGACAAGAAGAAAGAAATTAATACTTTGACTTTTTTTCTTGATACTAAAAAGGAGAATAGCCACTCTAAATTTTTTATATTATTTTTATTATGCAAAGAGGAGGGTATTTTCTCCTAAAGTTTTTTAACTTGCTAAGTTGGTTTAATGGTAGGATAAATTGTCTAAAAAATAACTCTATGGGGGAAATTAATAATGAAACTATAGTTTATGGAGGTAAAGTGATAATAATTTTAAGGGTTAAACATGTCTTTTCACTTTAATTAACAAATTTCGTTAAGTTTGACCGTTAGTCTTGGGGATAAAGTGACGAAAAGATAACGTTAAGGGGAAAATTGATAGTGACACCAAACGTTAAGGGGGTAAAGTGATAATAATCCTTAAATACGGGTATTTTAGTGAAGTTAAAAATTAACTACATTTTTTTAATTGGAAAGTGGACAATAATTTGAGATGGATGAGAGAGGAAAACAAGTCTAACCAAGTGGGATGGAGAAAGTAACCGGTGGGTGAGGGAGTAATTGAACAAATATAATGAAATATTGTATGAGGGATCAATTTGTAATATAAAATAGAATGGCATGCAATTTGTTACCAAACAATTTTATAGAGGGCATGACAGTGCAATAAAATAACAGATATGAAAATAATAGAAATGAAATTATATATATTTCTTTTGTTTTTGGAAAGGGAAAATAACGATATGAAGAGCAAGTGATGAATGCACATGTAATAAAGTATGAAAAATCATACAGGTCAATAACAGCAAATGAAATACTAGTAATTTAGAAAGGCATAAATTCCTGTTAGGTTGTTAGTCAATAGTCACAAATACGACAAAGTTGATGTAAATGGCAAAAAAATGAAATATCAAAAAGCAGTTGAAGCAAACAATTGGAAATAAGAAGGAAAAATGAAAAGATGGAAAATAAAATAGTAAGTAAGAATAATAAATATTGGCAATGACATGGGGCATACATGGGTAACACGACAGTTAGTGAGGCATAAGTAATTAATTACACACACACAAATGCATAAAATAAAAAATGAAAAAAAGAATTAAACATAAAGATTTGTCGGATAAAATGGAAATCGAAAACTCATAATCACTTTCAATCTGAGTAAGCACCAGCCTAATTTTGTATTTAACGAAAGCTAATAAAAATCGAGTTGCCTAAAATTGACTGTCTAATTTCAATTAAATTTTGTGGACATTTGACAAACTCAATGGCTGCAATTTGAGTCCTAGCTATGAAATTGTAATTAGTCATGATATATGGGCAAGGTTATTTGCTAAACTCCCGATCATTTTGGGAAGAACGCACTATTGAGAGTTACTTAGAATATGAACAAAGAACTTATTTACAGTATAATGACTAGTTTCCAATGAACCCTAACCCATGGTTAAATTGGGACATCATACGAAACATAGTGATCTTTCATACCATTTCAGCAAAGTATAAAGAAAAAAAAGTGTAATAAGAGAAAAGCCTTTAACGGAAAATTGATAAATGGGGTGAGTGTGATTGTTAAAGATTGTTAGTTGATTTTGAACTTTCCATTTAGGAGATATGGTTTAATTTTCGTAAGTTGGAAAACATATGGAATAGATTAGAAATTTACCAATTTACAATTTACTAAATATAAGAATCGAATGTACATAATTTTGTCCAATTCACGAATTGAAAACTAGACAGCGCATATCACATCGAATATTAAAATGAAAGAAGAGACAAATGAATGTACAATTTGTATTTGCAGAGTGATAATGATAGAATATAAACACACTTGAAAAAATGTGATACTCTGACATACAAAACATATTAAAAGATGCGACTAATGGGTAGTGGAAGTTTGCATTTACTCAAATAATAGTGAATTGGAAAAAACAACCTAATTTGTGAGATAATACTTTATTTTGTTACAAAACCATTTGGAAAAGAAGAACGGAGGCATAATGGCATTCCCAAAAAATGCCAATACGTGTACTCTATTTACTGCCAAAATATTCATTTAATTAATTTGGACTTTAATAAAACCATTGTGAATTGACAATCAATTAATCTACTTTAGTTTAAATGGACCTTGTACCTTTATGTTGAGAGCCATATGACACAAAGATAAATGGACTTGACATAATCTAATTTAATTTAATTTAATCAGGACCATTTTGTTTTTATCTTGATTAAATAAATTAAATAAAAATTTCATTGTCTACAGCCACATTATAGTATCCAGCTTTATTATCACTGTGTGTGGATTATGCTACCAATTGCATGAGCTGAAGTAGCTTTTGGTGACGATATTAAAAACTAATTGAAGGGTACCTTGTGCTCCTCGTCCATTTTTGTGGATCATATAAAACCAAGTTGCGTGGTTGCTACTCCTCCTTTCAGTTTATATTTATCACAACTTGACTTTTCTGATTCAATGACAAGTAGTTCTGCAGCTAGATTCATATGTTTCTTCCGCGTATTTGGGTTTTGCACAATCCAGTTTTGCTGCAAAATCGTTTCATAACTTGAGTTTACTGGAATAGTTTAGGTGGCCCTTCCACTTGGACTCCTGAGGTTGAATAGATTAGAATTAATTGCCACCCTCAACTTATGGAATGTCAAAGAAAACAGAAAAAAAAAAAATTGTAAATTTGCTAAACTTATACAATATTTACCCTCAGAACAAATTAGTGAAAATGTTGAGCTACCAAAAAGCTGTTGGATTTATTCAATTTTGAAGTCTATGCCAATTAGAGGAGAAATATCCTCCAAAACTTCGAAGCTGAAAGCCTAAAACCAAAGATATGTTCATACGGTGTGAATTTTATAAAGCAATAACCAAAATTTAAAGAAAAACCACCCTTACCGAAGTAAACATATTAGACACAAACTTGTCTTCCTGATGCATGGATTGAGAAGGAAGCAAAGAGAACAGACACAAACTTGTTATGTAAGCCTGAAATAGTGAGCTTAATATTGACAGATTGAACGAAAATACTAACACACAGCCTTTATTTCTACAATTCATTGTCATACAAAGTTACAGCCAACAGTGTTGGCCTATATCTCTATCTAATCTGCAAACTGAAACTTTGCATTTTCAACATGCTTATTTCTTCCAAGCGATGAATGACCTTATGACAATGATTTCCCTCCCAACAGCTGCAGTCACTTTCTTTTCTATACCAGTTAATATGAGCTTTCTGCTTCTGGTGCCACAAGATTCAGCACAAACTACTCTGCAAAAGCATCATGCGTAATATGCTCTTCGATTCATTGCATCATGGAAGTTCAACTGAATCATGTCTTTCAATTCAGCGACTCATATTGGCTCCGGTCAGCCAAAAATGGTTTGAAGGTCATCAATACTCCGATTGCCTCAATTACATTCAAGATAAAGAAGACTAACTGGACACCTGCATTGAAGACAACTAAATTAGTGAACACAGGCTTTTATACAAAAGGAAGCAAAATGTTCATGCATATATTACTATTTTGAAAAGTTCAAGGGACAACAGTAGCAAACTCCTCATGAGGATGTTCTCCATAACTTGCATTATATCTTCTCAGTAAGCTTTGCAACAGAACCAGATATAGTGGTCTCAGCTTTCTTTTCTTTTTCTTTAAAAGACTCTTTCTATGATTTCAAATGGCTTTGTCCAATGTGCAAACAGAGTTTAAGCCTAACTTTCAATTGGAACTAGCCATTCCAAGCATATTCAATTCAAAACATTCCAAAATTATTTGTCTCCAGGGGAAAATGATTAATTGCAACATCTGAGTCCAAAACTTACACATGGACATGGAGATGCCCATTTTTCCTCTAAAAGCAAGATGACATTGCCTCAGACAACTAGAAAACTAACTTTTCTTGTACTAGATCAAATGATACAAAACCAGCAAACTTCGCAAAGGTCCTACCTGGAAAAAAGGCAGCATGCTGACGTTTTTGTGCCCAAGAAAGGCTGCATAAATTGAAAGACCAAGAGTGATTCAGCTGTCAAAGGATGCTGAAATTCATTACTTTCATGATCAAGGCCAGACCAAGTGCAGAAGATTCTGGCAATATAATGCCAAAAACTACTACCGGTACTCAGCTTTATTTTCTGATGCAGTTGTTTCTCATTATGAAATTTATGATGTTCAACACAAAACAGAGTGACTTTACTACCGCACTAAGTTCTAACCCTTAGATGGGAATACATACATGCATCCGGATTACTCTCTTGCACCCAGTGAAAGAAAAGAATCAGTGAGTTGATGGTGATAGTGGAGTACAAGTTGTAAGGGGGTTTTGGAAGGCCATGAAAGAGAGGCATCTGACATTGAAACAGAATCTTCACATGGGTACATACTACATAGCTTCATGTTATTCAGAAAGTAACTGATAGTCATGGTCATATATATCTATCTTCGTTGAATGAAAGAAAAAAAAGATAATATTTTGACCTCTAAATATTTTCTGTTTTGTTTTGCGTGGTTCTGTAAGAAATGCTAATTATTTTTAGAAAATGCTTTCTGCTCGGCTGAGTGGATTCTTTTGACATGATTGATAGTTAATATCAGACAAATCAGCGTAGGGCAGATGCACCATGCAAATGTTTCATATATCCGATAAAAAAGTAACCAAAAAGTTATCTTAAACAAGAGACACTCACACTGCACCTCCAGCAGCTGGACCTACAGCTTTGAACAATGACATTGCTGTCATGGCAATGCCATTAGCAGCACCTCGTTGGTGTTGTTCCTGTGATTATAATATCAGACATAAGTTAATAAAAGTCTAAAATGGATAAGCATGCTTCTTTTTTGAGAAGAATGCAAGTAATGAGATCAATAGAAAACTGAGATCGAGTGAAAAAGAAATTACCACTGCATTATTCTGGAGTATGAACAAACCAGTGATAATGGAGGTCTGAAACAGTTATGATTTACCAGAAAATGTTAGGACTTGATATCAGAATCAGTTTGCAAATCTCAATATATTTCAATATGATCAAAGATTTTTGTCACTTGAATGAAATGAATCACACAACCATATGTGAACATAATGGCCATTCTTAATTAATGTATTATAGTCTTCTGACATAATTAGTATAATCAAATAATTAGTAGGTTTACATAAGTATCTAAATTTGTCCTGAAAGAAAATTAACTTGTGAGATACTAGCAATCAAGTCAATCTAAATTATTGTCTGTGCCATCTTATTTCTGTGATGAATGATTGGATAATCCTGGTTACCAGTACGTGTCATCCTAACACTCCTTGTTAGATCTTCATATCATGAAAAATATGTATTTGCCAATCATGGAATCCTTCTTCCTTGTAAAGAGGACATTTTTGATGCAATGGCATATCAAAATATTGAAGGCCATAAATTCGTCGTAAACTTAATTGAGGAATTGTTAGATCCTATTAATTTTGCCAGCATCTGTTCTACAGAGGATCTAGGTTTATGGTTTACCTATATATAGGCATGCTCATATATAGGTATCAATCATCTAAAAGGCATTTGATTAACAGATAAAATTTCGTGTCTCTTCCTTTTTAGTTGATTTGAGGAGGCCTATCTATTTAGGTCTGGTTTTTAAAAAAAATAACATCTCTCCCAAACAGAGCACACAATTTTCATTATTTTATTGATTCTTGACCATGTATCCTACAAAGTACAAACTCCCGAATGCATCTTAGCAGAAAGACTCTTGTTTTGTAAATGCTTCCGCATCCCTCCAGTCTTCTATGAAGGACAACAACACACCACACTCGATGTTAACCAACCTTCTTGCTGCTTCATCCCAAGGAGCCTGGGGTATTAAATTCTTTGCCACTATAGTGTCTGATATGCATTCTAAAGCTAAAATCTCCTAGCTAAAGTATTTTGTCACCATCTGTCCAGCCTCTCTCCATGCACTGAGGGGAAGCTACAACCCTTTCTTTTCTTTTTTCTTTTCCTGAAATCTGAGATGAGCTATTCTCTTTGCCTTCAAATTTGCTACTCGCTAAGATGAACGATTCCACAGTTGTTTTCTGAAAGGAATTTAAAGCATTCAGGAATTAAATGGTCACCAGGTTTCCATGACAATGTCGAGTCTGCTAAAGCCACCTGCCTAGGTGAATATGTATTTTCACAACATGCTGTATATTGGCCACTGATAGTGCATGCAGCTCCCTAATTCTTAATCTTTCCCTACTCCCTATTGTGTCATGAGTCAGTGTTGGGGTAGAAGTTTATCCCCATTGCCTACATCTACAAGAGTTCATTTGGATGTCATGACAGAAGTTCATAGAGTGGTGAAGTTTTCAAATAAAGTGTCCTATGAAGGTCACCTCTCCTACTGTTTACATAAAATTTGACGAGAATGAAATGCAAGCCAAGATTCAAAGAATTGCTCTACTAAACAGCCAGATTGTTGACATTCTTGATACAGCTCCAAAAAATGACTTGAAGGTGAATGTGATAGAGGGCCTTCAGACCCAAAATGAGCAAACAAACCACATGATTTTTTTTTTTTTATGGAAAACAGAAAATCAGGAAGGACCCAACAGTATATAGAGGACCAGAAACTACAGTGATCACTTAACAAGGGAACCTTTCAAACCTGAGTTCTTTAAGTGATACAATATATTCAAGCTTTCTTTTCCTAGAATTGGATCGTAGATGCACTTTCAAACTCAGGTATGAAGTTTAACTATCTAAAAGTCTGGCCCAATTCTCTAATTGCAGAGATGACGATGGTTCCATATGCATCGTCAAAAAGAACATATGAGGCTGATTCTGATAATAATCCCTATCCCTGAATAAGATGTGATACATCACAGGAGTCTCCTCAAATTCTCGATCTGAGTAATTTTTGAAGACTCTCATATCGAATGCAAGGGAAATTGCATATATTCCCCTACGGTAGCTGTTACCATTCATAGCTATGAGAAGTAGCACTGTATATCCCTCTGACTTGTAGTTATTTTGAAGTATGTTGACGAAACAGTTGGTCTATGCCAAACACCCTCATCATGAACCAAAAATAGCACCTTTAGTGAGAAAGTCCTAGATCTTTAAAATTAGCACAGAGATGTGCATATTTTTGCAGCTCTTTCAGTCCAAAACCTAACTGAGCTGTTAAAAACTAGCAGAAATGACCCTTTTGCTAATCATGAGTGCTACAGTTTATGAAGTGGAGGGAAGCGAAAGATTCTTGTGAAACTATTGATCTTGTCATAACCCACCTTAAAAAGAATGTCGAACCATCCACTAAACAGCTAAGAAAGTTTATTAACATAAAGTCACTGTGCTAGTACTTTGACATGAAGAATATTTTGTTCCTAATTTGACAGGAACATAAAGAGTTTTCTGATTATAATTCATTTTTAAAAGGGTTTGCTTTGGCCTTTCTACACACCTGAGTTCTCATTTTGACTGTAAATGTTGTAAAACTGAAATTCTCCGGTTTTTATCTTTTAATGTTACCTATCAAAACTTCTGAACTTCAGGGTGATGCAAGGACCATTTTGGGGACAGAGTTCGCGTATCTTTCCCCAATCAAAAGTAGGTGTAAAGTCTAGAGGCTATATCTACAAATTTACCATTTCAACAGTCTCCTCCAGGTTGAAAACTGTCTGTGGGGCTCGTTACTGCTCCAAATTGAATGAGAATATGATCGAGTCTTTTCTTGATTCTCAACTCTCGGTTTTCAAAGTTTATCCACAATCAACTAAATTTAAGTCAAGTAGATGAAACATTGGTTTACCTCAAAAAGGTAGCAAACTAAATGCATAGCTCGAAGGATGTGGAAACGTTCTCCACTCAGTGAATACTATGAATAACAATGATTAAGCTTAAGCCTATTCCAAAGGGAAACTGCACATTGAATTTATGATCTGTATAGAGTGTTTTTCCTAAACAAGCTCCAAAAATTCCCACTGAGAAAGCTGAAGCCAGTGCAAGCTTAACTAAAGTCCTCATCAATCTGCTCCTATATGATCAATAACATACTGAGGTCTGGAATCAATCTACATCTATGTTACATAAGAACTGGTGAATGAGGTTTTTATATGACAAATTGAAGCCATGGACAAGGAAAATAAAAATGAGTTACAGTTGAAAATCACCATATTCTAATCATGTTTAAGACCAATTCTAGAAAGATACTTTGAACTCCAATCTACTCTGGAGATTAACCAATAGGATATCCCTCCATGTAAAATCCTTAAGTTGAATTTCAGTTAAGGAACAAAGAGCAGTAGGTACAGGAAATCAGATCTTTGTCACATAATAAATTCAATATCCATCTCACTCATAGACAACATGCAATCTGATGGAAAACAAATGAGTTTAGTGTTATGAAAGAGGACAGTAAAGTAGAAGTTGTTAAGATAGTAACAACCATTTGCTAAGGTATTACTTCAAACGATATTTGTATAAAATTCTTTCATTGTTACTGAACCACCTAATAAGTCAAAGAACAAATCAAGTAAGTTGAAAGAACTCTTCTTTGTGTTGCATATATATTTGTTTTATGTATACACCAACATATTCTGGAATTTTTTCTATAATTGCTGACAGAGTTCGATAGCCAAAGACTACTTATGAATTGTGAAATAAGATAAGAACTTACAGATAAGACATTTTTCAACAGTGATGCACAATTGAGGACAACTGAGAGGGCAACTCCAGATAACATAGCTATATAGGGGTAACTTGTCAGCAGAGGTATTGACAAAACCTACAAACAGAACAGTTTTACATAGTATTAGATGCCATTAACTAAATTTAATTGAAACCTTATTCTAATCAGATTGTACTCTCAATATGGATTTAGTGCTTACTCCTGAGATTCGAGCAATCTTAATTGGGCCGAGCATCTTCTCCACAAATGGATACAAAAATAGCTGGAAAACTAAAAGACCACATCCTGAAAATTTGGAATAGTTGTTTTAAATGTAATGCTGAAGTTTCTCATCAGAAAAAAAGAAATGTAAAGAAGAAAAAACATACACAAAGCAAATAACAGAGATTATGTTCTCATTTGTTTCAGCTATAATTAGAATATACATATACCATTTGGTCTTTTAAGTGAACCTAGATAATTCTCCAAAACCACTCACTTCATGAAACGGATGAAGAGAAAATGAAAAACCAGAAGAAAAGCAGGAGCTAAGCAAACAACCAGCATTTTAAAATATTTCTTGTGATTAAAAGACAGTAGCAAAATGCTCGATGGTAAAGACATTTGATTAAGGTTCCAACCAGTAGTTCAGAGGATATAAAAAATGGTTACACATACATTAGTTAAAACTTCAATAGAAGAAACAAATATGCTGCTAGAGTAAAAAGTTCATAGACATGGATCATGTCATTTTTACAAGAAAATAATGAATACAACTGCATGGCTACACATGAATTTACATAAAACCAAGAACCAAAAGGCAAAAGAAAGAAAACAGAAAGCTAAGTAGAAGATCACATAGATTACCCCACTAAGGTTCACTAGATAAAATATTTGCCTTCGTTAATTAGTCAGCAATAACAGTTGAAACGGGGAAGTAGAAACAATTCTATGGCTTCCAGTTGGAAATAAAAGCACAACTGGAAGTAGTTTTAAAAAATTAAAGAGGTAGGTCTACAATGATCATGTCTGCTTCACAAGGGATATAGCGGCGGGATCATATCTAAGCAGCTATCTACTTACACGAGGTAATAAAACAGATATCACGAGTCTGATAATGACAATTTTTTTTTTTGTCCAAGAAACTTCTTATCTTAGATTAGTTACTCTCAAAATGATAGATATACTGCAAAAAAAATTGCTTCTTATAGATTCCTGACTAATAGAGGAAGCTCCCTGCACAAATTCAAGAGGAGTTTCAACAACAGAAACCAATGGACTTCACAAGAATGCTGCATCTTTGGTTCAACTAGCAGAAGGAACCAAAGACAACTTTTGCTTTTGCTAAACAGAAGAAAGGAGTGCCATATGGTACCACTTTGAAAACCACAATTAATATGCCCCAACACATGACACCAACAAAACACAAAAAGATTTTTTGTCAGTCAGCAAAGATTAATGCCTTGATAGTACATCGAGTCTGTTACTAATTTATTGGGTCTCACAAAACTAGCTATAATGGCTGATGGAACACTGGTATGACATCATGCATTCAGATCCTTATCACATCTTCAGTGTGCATTGAAGTTCCATCTCTCTTGTTGACTTGATAAATATGAGCGTCATGGATGAAACTATTTCGTCAACTTAGTTAATATCTATTTCTGACAACAAACCACACATGGTGCTACACTGAAAGAAAAGGTTCATGATAAATGATCATTTCAATCATAGAAAAAAAATGATAAAATACATCCATGATTCTACAACAATTGGCTGGACCAGAATGGAGGAAAGAGAAGACACCATGAAACAATAGACTTTAATAAACAAAAACCTCTTCGTGGTAGAGGTCAGAATATATTGATAATTAAACCAACCTGTAATTGTTAGAATTTCACCAACACTTTGAGTTGAATAACTTAAACCTCCAAACTTCCTGGGGCTTTCTGTCCATAATGGAAATATCTGTGGAAACAAATAATTGTCATGTAATATGCATGGTTAACTGGACCAGAGTAGCAACAAATGAAATGAAGTCACCCAGTAAAACTATGACTCAAAATAACTTGCCAGATGATCAAAGTTTCAGCTACAAAAATACCAAATAAGAGGCATAAAGCATCAACAGAAATTCCTACCTTCATCTCTGTGTAAACTGATAGTAACATGCTGAAAGAAACAATGTTTAATGATTAAGATGATAGGAAGACAGATGTTATTAGACATATAACTATACCTCTGAATAAGCCATATCATGAAGGGAGAAAATGCAATATACTATTATGGATGACATCAATGGCCAATTCTTCAAGAGACTTATTCCAGAATCAGTTTCTCTTCCATCTTTTGTTTCTGTTTTCCCATTGTCTTTTGGTAGTGCAGTCTCCAAAGCATCATAGGATTCAGTAGGTGAACAATTAGAAGGATGCATGTGCAATGTCTCCTGCGGTTCACAAGATTTACCATTAATTCCTACAATGTATCCCCTCAATGCATGACTAAGTTAACAAATAAGAAGAAAATATTACGATTTTCATAATCAGGAGTGATGGGATATGAAAGCAAAAAGGAGCTGGAGGATCTACATGTTATGGTTGGCACAGGATGCCCAAAAGAATTTTTTGCATAGTACATCAAATACCATTAAGTCCTTCCCTGATGAGAAGGTGAAAATAGATCTACTTTCTTCAAGGTAGTTACATGTAAAATGATTAGGATTGCTTTTATGCAAGTAGATCAACCACATAGACCTCACCGAGTTTTTTCTTCCAAATATTTTGACATGGTATCACGAAACAATTCCAGTACAGAGAAGAAAAGATTGTTACATGACAAAATTATAAATATTAACTGTTCATCAGCAATTTTTATGTGGTACTGTTCATTGCAGCATTGTCCACATTAGTACTCATTGGCATTGCTCATCCTGTATTGTTGGTCACACGACACTATTAATGCATGGCACTTATCATCGGGTGTCTCAATTACTCATCTTTTATGTGTATCATACTTGATTTGGGCTCAAAGTTATTGCTATAATCATGATTTACATGGTATTAAAAGAAAAATGGTCAAGGGTGGAGTTGGCTGCAGTTTTCAAAAATATTCTCTTTATGTTTAAGGATTCATACTCATCACTATTGTTCTGATTTAATTGGTAGACCTATTTTCAGTTATTTGCCACATTTCGTCCTAGTGCTTCGTTTCCTCAGATAGATAATTCAATGACATCTTTCTACATTCCCTACACCCTAAGTTATTCATCTTGAAGCCACTGATCACATGGCAGCTACTACTATTTCCCCTAATTTTCAACATTCGAGTTCCATGCCAACATTCGAGTTCCATGCCAAATGTTACTTTGACAAATGGTCCTACTAGCATACTTGAGTGCGCAGGCACTGCCAAACTTTCTTTCTTTTTTCCATTTTCATATGTTCTCAATGTTCCTAATTTTTCTTAATCTAGTCTCTGTTAGTAAACTCACAACTCAATTAGTGTTTAGGAAATAAGTCCCTGCTTCTATTTAATCATTCAGTTGCATATCCCACTAGTGTATCTCCACATGATGTCCCCTGTCACTTGGGTCATCCATTCTTGCAAAATTTAAAGAACTAGACCCAGAACTTTGTCTTCTTTTAAATGTGAGACATATCAAATTGCACAAGCAATGTTGTCTTTCATTTGCTCCCAAGAGTGAAGAAACAAGCATCTGCACCACTATTGTTAGTTTATTTTAAAGTTAGAAGTGGAACTCTGTCACTTCAAAATTAGGTTTCAAATCCTTTGTAATATTTGTTGATGACTTTTCTAGAGTTTCTAATTTTTAACCTATGAAATATTATTGTAAATTGCATTTTGCATTTTGTTTATTTCTATTCTGAATTAGGAAAAATTCTACCTACGTGTGTTCATCCATCTTCATGATAAATGCAAAAGAAGCTTTTTCCAGCCCATTCAATTCTGTCATGGCCAACTCAAGTATTCACGTCCTTGCAGTGACACCAAAATGGAGTTACTAAGAGGAAGATTGAGCAACTTGTTCTATAGGATGGACACTCTTGCTTGTGAATGTACTTTTGAGACTGATCCATCAGTTGCCCTTCTTGACATCGAATCCGACAGTTACACTTCCATCTGATTTAGATCTACCTGTTGTTTTACAGAAATGCAAGAGATCTACCCTTCGTATCCTGTCGCTAACTTAGTGACTTATGTTCCTTTATCTTTTTTCTATCATATTTCTGTTGTCTCACTTGATTCTCTTTCAATTCCAAGTCCATTGTGGAACTATATTCCGTCCTGCTTGGGCAAAAGCTATGGAAGCAGATGTTGCATTATTGTACTCCTTCCTTAATTAAAATTGTGTCATTGTGATGGGTATATCCAGTAAAAGCACATCCTTGTGGTTCCTTTGATATGTTAGAATTTAGAAGTCCGTCTTGTCACAAAAATCTCTACACAAATTTATGGGACATTTTCTCATGTTGCCAAGATAATAGACACACACACACACACATAAAGAGCTTGATGAGGAGGTTTACATGAAGTGACCTCCTGTGTTGATTCCAAGCAGGTGAGTTGGCTACAGAAGTCTTTGCATGGGCTAAAGCAGTCTCCTAGAGCTTGCTTTAGTCAATTTACCAGCAATTCTGTGTGAATTTGGGCTCAGGAGAAGCTGAATGAACCACTCTGTATGTTACCAAGAAGTTCTGATAAAAAGTTGAATAGTTGTTTTTGTAGATCATGGTGTAACCACAGGTGACAATTATAAAACAATTCAACTTTAAACCCTTTGTTTAGGCATTGTTAACAAACCAGGATGGTATGTAAGACAGGTTGGATAGCTCGATTATCCTACTGTGAGTAGACTAGACATTCCTTTCAGGTTAGTAATCAGTGGATTCCCAGATGCTCCTCAAAGTAGTTAGTGGGATGTAGTTCTACGTACTCATAGCTATCTTAAAACTGCTGTAAGTATAATTTCGTTGTATAAGAGCCATGCTTATACACAAATTGAATGAAGCACAGATTGGGCTGTTCCTCAAGATCAAAAGCCAGCTGCCCAGTATTATGTTTGTATCATAAGTGTACACAAAGGTTGTTTCAAATTTGAGTGCAATATCCTAGTACCTGAGCCAAAGTTCTTCCTACCTGTAAGATGTTGACTTTTAATTGTCATTTTCATCAAGAGAAGTTGTTAAGATGGTGATTAAATTATCTCATGCAAATCAGTGGATCCCTGCAGCTGATTTTTGTTTATGAAGTGTTGCAGGTTCATAAGTGGCAATATACTTATAACTAGTTGTTAAGAGAATATAAGTATTCTTGTAGATAATAAATTAGTAAGGGTATTTTTGTAAATAGTTTGTTAGGTTTGTACTCCTATAAATACTAGTTGGTCACTCATAATACGGTGACTAGATGTTCTCCTCCCAAGATACCTGTTAACATGGTATCAGAGCAAAAGTTCTAGGGTTAGGGTTAAACATCTAGCAAAAGTTTTGGTCATCGCGACTGTTCAAGCGACACTGTTCATGGCACTGTTCACGCGGCGCTGTTCACTGTTCACGCGCTGTTCATCTCGAGTTTTGACCCTTCGTTTGGTTTGGAGTGCTATTCGCTATGGCTGAAAGTCTATCAAAAGGTATTGTGACGTCTACTAATATTATGCCAATGGTGATGTCTCAAATCACAAATTGAAAGTTGAATGACACTAATTATCAACAGTGGTCAAAAGCCGTTAAGATTTATCTGACAGGCTTAGGAAAGCAACGATATCTCACAGATGACTCTCCTACGGAGGACAACAAGAAACTAATGTGGATTCAAGAGGATGCCCAAATTCTTGGAGCAATATGGAATTCTATGGAGCCACGAATTGCTTACATGTGTTCTCATTGTGAGACAACAAAAGAAGTTTGGGATTATGTCCGGTTATTATACTGTAGTAATCTTTCACGGATGTATGATATTTCTTTGGAGTATTTTCAATTGCAACAAGATAACAAGACAGTAACTGAATACTTTGCTGATCTGAAGCGAGTTTCAGAAGAATTAAATGCCGTAATGCCTCTCTCAAGTGATATTACAGTTATGCAGAGGCAAAGAGAACAAATGCTTGTACTCAAATTCTTGGCCGGTCTCAAACCAGAATTTGAACCAATCAAATCTCAAATTTTAGCGAGTGAACAATTACCATCCTTTGCAGAGGCGTATGCTCGGGTCTTACGTTCTGCATCTAAGGACAAAGCACAGGGTGATGGTGCTCTAATTAATGACAAATTTGCGTTAGTTGCTAACAATGATCGGATAGAGCAACTTAACTTGGGACGTGGCTCTCGTGGAGGAAGAAGTAGAGGAGGTCGTGGGGGTCGTGGAGGTCGAGGCACCCGTGAGTGCACTCATTGTGATTTGAAGAATCTCACTCATGATACTTGTTGGGATTTACATGGAAAACCACCTCGGTTTGTTAATGCGGTTACTATTGACCAAGCTGAATCAAGTTCTTCAGCACAAGGGTCCCAGAAAACTTTTACCATATCCGAGGAAGATTATGTCAAATTTCTGCAGTACCAAACTGCAAATCACGCATCTCTTCCCTCTGCTTCTTTAGCACAAAAAGGTAATGCTATGGCTTGTCTCTCCACTTCCAAAAATTTTGACTCATGGATCATTGATTCCGGAGCTACTGATCATATGTCAGGTACCTCTAGAAATTTTTCTAATTTTCAAGAGTCTACTTCCTTCCCTCATGTTACTTTAGCTGATGGATCTACAACTAAAGTTAAAGGACTAGGCACTGTAGAAATTAACCCATCTCTTCCGCTGTCTTCTATTCTTTACGTACCAAATTTACCTTTTAATCTAATGTCCGTTAGTAAGCTTACCAAATTTCTACAGTGTTCAGTTATTTTTTCTCCTGATTTTGTTGTTATTCAGGATTTGAAGACAAAGAGGACGATTGGTGGAGGGCGCGAGCATAATGGTCTTTATTTTCTCAACTCTAATGGTCCGATTGCGTGCCCTGCTACTGTTTCTCCTCTTGAAATTCACTGTCGTTTGGGTCATCCGTCTCTACAAAATTTGAAGAAGCTGGTTCCTACCTTGAGTCAGTTGTCTTCATTAGAATGTGAGTCTTGTCAATTAGGAAAGCATCATCGTGTTTCTTTTGCCCCTAGGGTCAATAAACGGGTTTCGGAACCCTTTTTGTTAGTTCATTCTGATGTTTGGGGTCCTAGTCGAGTCACTTCAAAGTTAGGTTTTTTGTAATCTTTGTTGATGATTTTTCAAGAGTTACATGGCTTTATTTAATGAAAGATCGTTCAAAACTATATTCCATTTTTTGTGCATTTGTTACAGAAATAAAGAATCAGTTTGGTGTATCTGTACGTATACTTCGCAGTGATAATGCGAAAGAATATTTTTCTACTCCTTTTAATACCTTCATGACTAAGTCCGGTATTATTCATCAGCCCTCTTGTCCTCACACTCCACAACAGAATGGAGTTGCTGAAAGAAAGATTGGACACTTAATCGAGGTTGCTCGGACACTTATGTTGCACATGAATGTGCCCAAACAATTCTGGAGTGATGCAGTTCTAACTGCATGTTATTTAATTAATCGCATGCCATCTAATATTCTTGGAGGCCAATTACCTCATTCCATTCTTTTTTCTCATGAACCTGTGTTTAAATTGCCTCATCGTATTTTTGGATGTGTGTGCTTTGTTCATCAGCTTGCTCCCGGGGTGGATAAATTAGATTCTCGTGCTATTAAGTGTATTTTCTTAGGATACGCACGAGCGCAAAAAGGGTATAGATGTTACAGTCCAGTTTTAAATCGATTTTTTACTTGTGCTGATGTTTCTTTCTTTGAATCCACTCCATATTTTATCAAACAAAGTATGTCTTGTGAGTTAGACCAGTGTCCCTCTTTTTCCTCTCCTGTTTTACCAGTCCCTTCCCCTTTATTACCTGAGTTATCTAATCCACCAGATTCCATAGATCGATTATCTCGTCCTCATCTTCAAGTTTACTCTCGTCGTTCCATGGTTGAGAAAGTTCCTGCTATGCCACGCATTTCACCAATTAACTCTCAATCTTCAAATCCAGGTATGACGCCCTCATCTGAGTTAGATCTTCCTATTGCTTTACGCAAAGGTAAGAGACATTGTACTTCCCATCCTATTTCTAATTTTGTTTCTTATTCTCATCTCTCTTTGTCATATTCTTCTTTTGTTGCTTCCCTTGATTCTATCTCCATTCCTAAGTCTATTACCTATGCTCTTAATCATCCTGGTTGGAGATTAGTCATGCAAGAAGAGATGTCTGCTTTGGAACAAAATGGTACTTGGGATCTTGTCCCTCGTCCTTCAGGTAAGCCTGTTGTTGGCTGTAAATAGGTGTACACTATAAAAGTGCAGCCTAATGGTTCTATTGATAGATTAAAGGCTCGTCTGGTAGCTAGAGGATTTACTCAAGTGTATGGAGTGGACTACTTAGAAACATTTTCTCCTGTTGCAAAGATTACCTCTGTTCGTCTTCTTATCTCTTTGGCAGCCACTTATAATTGGCCATTGCATCAGTTGGATGTGAAAAATGCATTTCTGCATGGAGATTTGGAAGAAGAGGTATATATGGAACAACCTCCTGGATTTGTTGTTCAGGGGGAGAATCCGCGGTTGGTTTGTCGTTTGAAAAAATCCTTATATGGATTGAAACAGTCTCCGAGAGCTTGGTTTGGCCGGTTTAGTAGTGTTGTCATGGAGTTCGGTCTGACAAGATGTGGAGTAGATCACTTTGTATTTTATCGGCATTCTAATGCTGGTAAAATTTTATTAGTTGTTTATGTGGATGACATTGTGATTACAGGTGATGATGTTGTGGGGATCCAGAAGCTTAAATCCAATCTGCAGGCAAACTTTCAGACAAAGGATTTAGGTCATCTACAGTATTTTCTGAGTATTGAGGTAGCTCGGTTTAAATATGGGATTTATTTATGTCAAAAGAAATATGTACTCGATATGTTGAGTGAAGTTGGGATGTTAGGTTGCCGACCGGTGGATACTCCTATGGATCCCAATGTGAAATTAGCAAGAGATCAAGGTGCATTACTTGATGATCCTAAGCAATATCGAAAACTTGTGGGTAAATTAAATTATCTCACTATAACGAGACCTGACATTTCGTTTGCAGTGAGTGTTGTGAGTCAATTTCTTGATACCCCTCATACTAGTCATTGGGATGCTGTTATACGGATTCTCAGGTATCTTAAGAGTGCTCCTGGAAAAGGGTTGCTGTATCAAAATCATGGACATACTGATATTGAAGGATATAGTGATGCAGATTGGGCTGGTTTTGCCTCAGATCGAAGATCGACTACAGGATATTGTGTGTTTGTTGGTGGTAATTTAGTGTCATGAAAGAGTAAGAAGCAAACAGTTGTATCCAGATCAAGTGCAGAATCTGAATACCGCGCTATGGCTCACACTGTGTGTGAGTTGGTTTGGTTGAAGAGCATGTTACTTGAACTTGGGTTTGAGCATAAACAGCCTATGAATTTAGTGTGTGATAATCAGGCGACTGTTCATATTGCGTCTAATCCAGTGTTTCATGAAAGGACAAAACATATTGAAGTTGATTGTCATTTCATTCGAGGGAAATTGCTTGACGGGGTCATCAAGACATCTCATGTACCGTCTGTAGATCAATTGGCTGATGTGTTTACCAAGAGCTTAAGGGGCTCTAGGGTGAAATACCTTTGTAACAAGTTAGGTGCTTATGATATATATGCTCCAACTTGAGGGGGAGTGTTAAGAGAATATAAGTATTCTTTTAGATAATAAATTAGTAAGGGTATTTTTGTAAATAATTTGTTAGGTTTGTACTCCTATAAATACTAGTTGGTCACTCATAATACGGTGACTAGATGTTCTCTTCCTAAGATACCTGTTAACACTAGTGATTAAAGGATGCGGTTTAAGTCATTCAAAAAATCAAGCAGGAATGTAGACTAAGTCAAAGTTCCTTAACCACATAATGCAAAGAAAGATTCTGAGTACTTTCACTAAAGGGTGAAGTGTAGGAAAAAAGGTCCAACAATATACATTTAACTAAGCTTTTCTAGATTCAATTGCCGTGACAAGTTACATTGAAAAAAAATTTCTCAGCTATGAGACGTGATATAGCAAAATAGCATTCCACATCAAGACACGTCTCAAAATGATCAACATTGAAGATGACAGGAAATCTAATCAGAATTCAATGTATAAACTGGAGACTTACTGGTAGCCAAAAACAACACACTGCCCCAATCAATGCAAAGAGCGATATGAAAAGGCATGGCAAGAAGTAAGGAAATCTGAAAAAAAAAAAATTTGGAGCATTATGGATAAGAAACTCAAGAAGAAAGTATTAGGCCAACAACATTTTGAAAATATTAATACAGACCAAGAGCATTGTTTACCTCCCAAAGATAGAATTTGGAGAAAATATAGCAGGATATTTTTCTGCAGGCTTGGTTCATGAAATAAAAATTAGAGCAGCACATTAATGAAACTCAAAAGATGCGGCGTAAAATAAATCAGTCTCTACTTATACATGCTTCACAAGATCAAAGAATTTTGGGTCTTTTGTACATATAGAATGTGGAAACTCTACTTGTAGGCTTTTAGCTCATTATACATGAATGTTCACTAAACTATGTCGAATCTTGTAGGCAGTTTCTTATATCAAAGTAAAACCCCATCAGGTTTTTATACTGTACTGTTCCAAAAGTCAAGTTAACAAGAATAGAAGCAAGATAATCTTTTCTTGATGAAAGAAATCCAAAAACCAAAATCAGTAGCAGCAAAAACATTATAAGCAAAATGTGATTTTTTTTTGGCAATGGGGATTCAGTCAATACATGCATCTTAGGAACTTGAGTAGTATTTGAGTTAAAGCTGCTTCCAATAGTTAATATGCACATGATAAACGCTAAATTAGCGGCAGAACAGTAAATGGGAATTCATAAACAACACGCAGGGTACCTGTGCAAGAAAGCCTCCCAAAGCCGGTCCAATGATCAAACCTATGGCCCATGATGTACTAATCTGGAAAAAAAAATTATTGTCAGTGTTTTAACGTATTCTAGTTCAAACATGAAGGCTAGGCCATTAGTGTGGCTAAATTGAACACTCCAGTATGGTTCAGAGATGCCGTTGAGCAGGTGAAGATTCACTCTGTCTGAAGAAGATCGAGCCTTTCACTCCAAAGTCATTGTTTAATTGCTATTTTGTTTCCAGTGTATTGTATTTGCAACTTACCAAGACTTTCAAATAGTGCATTTTTTTAGTTCTACATATGTTGTTTTGACAAAATTATATTACTTGATAGGTAACTATCTTCTCAATCTTAGCTCACACTGTAATTGTGTTAGTTAACTGACATATCTCATAGTACAAATTTTGCTAGATAAGTAGCTAGTTTATAAATCTGAAGAAGAAGAAGTATAGGGCAATCTGAGGAGCTTACAGAAGAGAGTGCCACAGCTTGATACTCATGGCGGAAAATCTCACTTGCATATGCCTGGACATTTCAGCAAATCAGTCATTGCAGTCTTTAGATTTTATGTAAATGCAAATGCAGGGAAAAAGAGAAGAAATGCATTTACATCAACATAAATTAAGGATAACAGCTTCATTATTCAGCTGTGAACTTCCATAGGTAAAAGACATGATGAATTGGTAATACCTTTACTGGCCCGAGTAAACCATTCAATGCACCAAGCAGAAACCTTGTACAAATTGCCATCCAGTAGTTCACACTAAGACCGAATATAGTATTGAAAACAACTCTGAAACCGAGGTTTACCAAGTCTTATTGAACTATTCATACTTGGAACAGAAAACTTAAATTCAAACAGATTAAGCAGAAATACACTGTGATTATCCCGATGAATATGACCGGTTTTCGACCGTATCGATCAGCCACTACTCCCCAAAACATGGAAGTCAGAGTTCTTCCAAGCATATACGAGGCACCTTCAAAATAATACGCAATGCATGACTATTTATCAAGGACAAGTATGCAATAATTTGCAATTCTTGGTGGAAAATTATCATTAAAATAGAGGGACATAGACCCACCTACATAGCCAGCATAAAAATTGATATCTTCTTCCCTCTTTGCAATGTGCAAATCTCTTATCTGCAATAGTTACATTATTTTTTTAAAGACTGGAGCATCTGTAACTGAAATTAGGAAATCTGGTTATCTATTCCAAAAGGAAAGATACAGACGTATCCATGACATTAGAGAGAATAAGAAGTATAAGAAATTTCTTTGTGAAAGTAAATGCATGAGCTGGATAGAATTTTTACTAAACAAGTTGCAAATCCAATAATCTGTGGGATTCATTTGTAAAATCAATAACGCAGTAGTAAAGTTAAGTAAGCCGCATTTTTAGTCCAAATTACCAAGGCAAGGAGTAAAATAGAAGTTTCTACGTTCAGAGTTCCATGGTTTGTTTAGCAACATGAATGGTGCAAGCAACCAATGTCTAACAACATTACATCTACGTTGGGAAAAAAAACAACATTACATCTGTTTCCATGTAAACTTTATAATTTGGTACAGATTTGCTAATCCTTCTATAGATTGCACAGTTTAGAGATAAGTATAGGATGCAACGCACCACCAAGATATCCATCTTTATACACTACTATGGGTGGCCAATTTCTTATATACAAGTTTAACATTGAAAATTCAGATCAACTATTTGATTTTTTTTAGGGTGGCTTTTTTGTTTTGTGTGGGGGTTTTTTTGGTTGGGGAGGGCAGGTTTCTTAGGTTTCAGAAGGAGGATGCTGCTCCAAGCCTAAATCATCCCCATATCAATTTTTTTCTCAACCAGACTGAAGGGACTAGCTGCTTCTAGGTCTATTAATATTTAGATTCTTAAAAGAATAAGGTTATTTTACAGATATCCGTCTTTATATACTATTATGAGTGGCCAATTTCTTAACATTGAAAATTCCAATCAACCATTTGATTTTTTTTTTAGAGTGGCTTTTTGGTTTTGGGGGGGGGGGGGGGGGGGTTCCTAGGTTACAGAAGGAGGATACTGCTCCAAGCCTAAATTATCCCCATATCATTTTTTTCCCAACTAGATTGAAAGGACTAGATGCTTCTAGGTCTATTAATATTTAGATTATTAAAAGAATAAGATTATTTTACAGATATCATCTTTATACACTACTATGAGAGGTCAATTTCTTATATACAAGTTTAACATTGAAAATTCAGATCAACCATTTGATTTTTTTTTGGGTCGTCGGGGGGGGGGGGGGTGTTCCTAGGTTTCGAGAAGGAGGATACTGCTCCAAGCCTAAATTATCCCCATATCATTTTTTTCCCAACCAAACTGAAGGGAATAGCTGCTTCTAGGTCTATTAATATTTAGATTCTTAAAAGAATAAGGTTATTTTACAGGCCTTGAGATCTAAAGAGGAGAATGTAACTATTTCTTCACACGCAAAAACAGTCTGCTCCGTTTGGATTAATTGTTTTGGGGGTGTTTTTGAAATATTTTACTGTAGTAATATAGATGAAAATTTTTTACTGTAGATGGGGTTGTTTTTGGCGTATTTAAGGTTGTTTTTTGTGTTTTTGGTATTTTTGAAATTATTTTTGTTTGTGTATTACTACAGCATAATATATGAAAAACTTTTTTTTTCAAAAAATGACCAATCCAAACGGATTAGTAGTTGAACATTGAAAACTGAAAGACTAGCAAGATATCTGACACGAAACAGTAGAGAATCCCATGCAAAATCCCTATAAGAAGTCAATCAAAAGACTGTTAAACTAAGCCACTCGAGACAAAATAAAGGCAAGCCATATATAGAATTTGAACAAAAGGTCAAAGGCAACCAGAGTCGGCTAAAATGTACTTACCATGAAATAAAGAAATGGAAAGAGAGATGAAATTGGTAGTGCTGAGGAAGCAACCAAGACAAAGTGAAAGAAACAAGACATTAGAGCATGACAATGCAATACAACTGAAAATGTCAACAAAACGATAGCCAATCCCCATATAAGTGCTAAAGATATTTGTAAACAACCATGAAGCTATACACATGAAGGTTATATAAAATTGCCAAAACATTTTCGTTGAAAAAGGAAAAACTAAGCACGAAAAGGCAATAATATAGAGATATCCAGAGTTTTTTTTTTTTTTTTGGGCCACAAATCCCGGATGAACCATTACTCATCTAGGATAAAAAAATGCCCACAAATGGGAGCAAGTAAAGAATATTGTGGCAACCAAGAAAAGACATGCTGCACTCACAGACTATTTGCTGTAAACTATTATATCTCATTTCTTCTGTCCAAATTCAGACTCTTACAAAATTTGGTCTGACCAAAAACTATAGTCATAAACCAGAGTCTGAACTTTAAATAAAGATTTTGTTTAAATACTGCATACATGAAAATTGGCACTAGCAACACATACTTCTTTGTTACTCCAATTTGAAGAAACTAATGTGGTGAGTTCACATGGTTTACATTTCTCTTTGATCTTGAACGGAGTTCAACCTCTTCTTTAATATTTGTGCTCAGTCAAACTAAGTCACTTCTCAAGTGTGTGCTTTTGGTAATGATGCAGGTATTTCTCTTCTCCAGCATCTATCTCAGTTTCTTCTTCCAAAAACATGTACCAAACCACATTTTGCTTGTTCATATGTTCAGGCAAAATCCTGGTAGCAGTTCATCTTCTATATCGTTTTTGTTGGATCTTTTCAACAATAACCCATAAGGTAGAAAGAAAAGTTATTGCAATATAACTGAATTCAGTAAAAGTATTTTCCACTTTATACCTAAGGCAACAAGAAACCGTTACAGGACAAAATAGAGAAAATAACCTACTTCTGTCTAACATTCCAAATGGCAGGACTAATATCATCCAATCCCAAACTCTAAGAAGAAGATCTCTTAATCTCAGGTGGATGTTGTTCCTAAAAGTGTAGATTTCCTTCAGAATCCACGTGAATCTCAAATGGGAATGAATTTCTAGACACTCGTATTCGATAGGGACATTCTTATTAGCATTCTTAGCAGCCCAACAGCACAACCTAAGAAAAAATGTTTACAAAGCAGAATTCAGAAGCTCCGTCTGGTCAATTAAAATACTAGTCCACTGTTCTGTTTCACCTACTACTGGGAAAGGTCACAAGATTAATACAAATTTGGTATATATCTACCAGAAAAATTCAGATATGAATGGTCCCATAATGCAAAAAGGGAACCGTGTGAAAAACAAATAGAACTTCCTTTCTCTTGAAATGGTCAATGTCACTCATTGGCTATAATAATCACATTCGTTCTGCCTGGTGACATTTTTGCTCCGTCTATACCATTAATTGCCTTCAATTCAACAGCCAAATTGAAAAGATCAGATATTAATTTTTTTCTGGCCATTCTCTATTAGATTCGTCAGCTAGTTATTAAATATCTCTAAAGATCCTTTGACAAAAAGAATGAAGACCATCAGTACTTTTTTCTTAACATTTTATAGCCAGTTAATAGAAAAGCATGAGTTAATAGCAAACAGACCAGTTAACAGAAAAGCAAGAGTCATCCCCTATGCCACAAAGACAGTAGATTTTTTAAAATAATAAGCAGCTTCCTCTCTTCTACAATTTCAGGATGTGCTACAGAAGCTCATTTGAAGTAAGTGATATAAGGGATAGAGCTTTTTGTTCTGTTTCTTTTCCATGATAACAAGAATCAGGAAAAAAAACAAAGTACATCTCCTAGAATAAATTATTGCAGCTAGAGGAGGGATGAAACCAAAATTGTAAACCACTCAAGGCCAATGCGAGACATGAAGGAATTATCTCTGATTAAAAACTCTAAGATTCGTGAGTTGAAGTTTGCTTTCTCCAGTTCTATTTCTCCACTTCTCGAACTCATGAATTAAAATAAAATCCTAAATGCAAGAGAGGAGATCAGTTCACTAGTCTCACCCTGACCAATTTTCATACACTTCCTTCCAATATCCAATAAGACACTAGCTGTCCAGTTACCAGACCGACAAAGCAAAACCAAACTCTAATAATCATATTTGGCTTAGTTCACATTCAATCCAGCAAGAGTAGAGCAGAGTTTAAAGAAACTTCAATTACCTGCAGATAGCACAACGGTCCATATGGCTAGAAGCTTCGTGATGGGCAGACCTCTCTGCCTCTCCTTCATCTCATCCACCATACAACCAGGGCAGTTCTCATAGTATGGTTTCTTCAGGAGTTTTTCTTGAAGCTCATCATTTGCCATTTTCTCACCAAATTCTCAGCAGCACCACCGCCCCACCTGTCGAATTGCCTCAAGACCAACTGCAAAATCAATGAAACAATTGAAAAAACAAATAAGAAGACCAGAGTTATGTATAAGAATCAATGGAGGGCCAGCCACGAATGATTTGTGGACTAAAATTTTTTATCACAACTCTTATTTTCGAGTCAGTTATTCTCATGCTATCTACCAATGGAAAAAAGTGAAAATTACGTACTTGAAAGAGAGAGTGTCTGGTACAGATTCAACTTGTGAAGAATTGGGCGAATTCAGGCAATGCACAAATATAATGGTAACATTTATATGACTGATTAAGATGCATGTGCAGCTTTCCAAGTAATCTGAGTACTGGAATTTGTTTGTCGTCATTTGCGTGTATATGTACAACTGGACATCATTGCTAACGTAGATGGGACTAAGACAGCATAGCAATACTCAACATTTGTTTATAGTAATATTGTAGTTAGATATAGTAATATATTGTAGTTAGACTAGAGTATTTCTGGCTGTGCAAGGCACAGCCAATGCCCAAGGTATTGTGTCAAAAATATTGAAATGTGTTTTTTTAACAGGAAAGAACCAAAGCTGAATATCTTCAGGTATAGTGAGCTATATGAGGATGCAAACAGAAGAAAATAATAGATCGAAAGGCAAATATTCCTGTACAATAAATATTGAACAATATTAATCATTAATTGGAGAATTTCAAATAAAAATTGTCCCTGTTTACTCATTTCCCTAGACGAAGGTAATAAAAATAGAGTCTAGAAAGAAATGCTTACTCTTTTGTTTCTATTACATAGCAATCTATTGATTAGTTAGCTCCATTACAGTCATATAAAGCATACATTGACTTAATAAGTGAAAGCAAACAAACTTACAATTGGAAAAGTATGATTAACAGGTGAAATACAACAAAACTCAGGCACAAAAATTGCACTTCCATATAATTGACTCTTTGTGGGAGAAAAGAAAGCTGAAAGAAAAATTAAGAAACGGGAAACAGAGAGAGACAGAAAAGAAGAAGAAAACAAAAGATGATGGGCTAAAGTTGTAAAATGAAGTAGAAAGGGCGTGTTTTGCTTTCCTGCCATCGGTGCACTTCTAGATTTTTATTTGACTTTTTGACTCCTATGGGCTAAAGTTGTAAAAATGAAGTAAAAAGGGAGTGTTTTGCTTTCCTGAATCTTGACACATCGATGCACTTCCATATACTCCCTCCGTCCCACTTTGATAGTCTTGTTTTCCTTTTTCGTCTGTCCCAAATTATAGTCCACTTTCCCATTAAGAAATGTAGTAATCTTTCAAATTGTCTAAAATACCCTTATTAAATATTTTGTTATTAATACATTGTTATTAAATACTAACCCACTACATTGAATACATTGAGTTTTTCCAATACATAGATAACTGATATTTTTTGGCACCATTAGTTGTAGCTGATATTAATTGGCACTCTTCGTGATTAGCATAAGGGTATTTTAGGAAATTATTAATCTAAATTTATGTTTTCAACCAAATTAATTACACTTTCTTAATCTGTGTGAAAAAAAAACCAAAACTAACAAAACGGGACGGAGGGAGTATTTATTTGACTTTTTTACTCCTATGACTTCTTGTCTTTGATAACGGAGACAAAGAAGTGAAGAACAACAAAGGTGATGGCAACTACGTCTAAGAAAAGATGGCAACTGAGAAATAAAGCAAAAGGCTGTTCGCAAGAAGTCAAAAATAGCCCTCAACAGTTACTGTTTTGGGGCTAGTTATTTTTATCTGGGCAAGGTAGTAATTTCATGTGAAAAGCCATGCGGCTGAACCTGAGAGTAGAAATCTTAGGTCTTCATATATATGTAAGATATAGTAATACTCAACTGGAACTTATATTGTAGTTAGATATAGTAATATATAGCTCTATTTAGGGGTGTGAATCGAAATCGAAATCAATAATTCGGAACTTTGAAATAAAAAATTTTCAAAATTTTGGTATCAGAATTTTCGACCGATTTCGATTTTGAATTCACCAATTCCGAATTCGAATTCGTTCCGAATTCAATTCAGAATTCGGTAAATTTTTATTTCACCGAATTCATGAATATAAAAATTATTATTATTATTATATAAATATTATATTACATATAATTTTTATTATATAAATATTATATTACATATATATAAAAAAAATATTATATATATGTGTGAAAACGAAATTGAAATCGAAATAGGAATTCCGATTTCACCGATTTCATGAATATAAAAATTATTATTATTATATAAATGTTATATTATATTATATATATATATATATATATATATATATATATATATATGAAAAACGGATTTGAAATCAAAATAGGAATTCTGAATTCCGATTTCGAATTGTGAATTTTCAATTTGAAAAATCTCATTACCGAATTTGACCAATTCGAAATCAGATATTCTGATTTCCATTCCGAATTACCAAATTCGAAATTTCGAATTCAATTATTCGAAATTTTTCGATTTTGCACACCCTTAGCTCCGTTTATAGTAATATTTGTTTGTAGTAATATATATAACAGGGCCACCAACAGTAACCTATGTTTCCTTGTAAAGTTAGTATTATTTTTTCATAAGTGGAAGGTTTTGAATCAATTTTTTTTTATTATCAGTTACGATCTCTCCTATTTTATCATCAAATCCAACTCACGCCCTTATTATTGTTGTCATTACACAACTGTAAAACGGCATATATAGAAGAGAAAAGGGCTTTTTGTGTTTTTACATTGTTTTTTAGATTTTCATTTTTGCCTTCTTTAATATTTGTCCCATTAAATTCCATCTTTTTTTTTCTTATCAGTTTTTCCCTTTTATCTTGCACACCCACAAGTGTTGGTGCAATATAGAGGTGTCAAAATGGGTAATTTGGTGGGTTTGGGTTGGATAAAATGGATAATGGGTATAAGTAAGTCAACCCATTTATATCTATTTAATTAGATGGGTACAAGTGGGTAAGTCAAAAAATGAATTGGGTAACCTAATTACTTGTTTATAATCCATTTATTTTAACTTTTTGTAAACTCATTTAAATTCATTTTTGCAAACTAAGTTATCAATTTATATTATCCTTTGCATCCATCATTAGTTTTAAATATTTACTTATAATGTTCAATACGCTTAATTACTAGTTTTTTTTTCCATCCGTACTCTATGTCGCAAAATTACATATTATTTTATCATTGAATAATAAAAATATAAAAATTTGAACTAAGTATTATAAAAGTTAACATAAAAACTTATTCCAAAAGTTTTGCACTCCTAGCATTTTTTCTTGTGTAAATTTAAAATTTATTTTGGAAAGGTAGGAAAAAAGGTTAAAACTTGTCATAAATTGGTAATGCTGAAAAATGAGCAAGTTAAAAAATTAAGAGAAAATAAAATGATAAAATAAAACTAACAAATAATAGTAATAGTAATAATAATAATAATAATGAAACAAAAGTAGTTAACATCATGACAAAATGAAGAATCTGAAAAAAAAAAATGGATGAATGAAGAGAGGAGGATTGGGGGGAGACAATTTTAAATGAGTTAATTGGATTTGATGGGTTACCCAATAATATCCATTTATTTAAATGGGTATTATTGGATAACCCATTTATATCCATATGTAAAAACTTAACATATCCATATTCATCTATTCATGGACAAGTATGGGTAAATTTAACTAAATAGATTTGTTTGCCACCTATATTACAATGCAACAAATCCAATACTGCAAATTATGCAATGAAGAGCATGGCATGGAATCCAACGTTGAATTCAAACGTAATGACATAATCTCCAAATATAAAATGCAATATTCTGTATGAAGAAAATCACTTGATTTGTCAACTATGTTTATGGCAGTGATAACTCTTCATATGTGCGCATTCTTGGTAGTATAGAAAACTAGAAGTAGGAACTCACATCTATTTTTAGGGTGTTTTAAAATATTTTACGGTAGCAATGTATGCAAAAAAACTGTTACTATAAATGTTTTTAATGGTATTTTTGGAGCTATTTTTAAAATATATCTTGAGATATTTTTAAAATTTAAAATTTTAAGACGGCATTTTTAAACATAGGCGGCAAGAGACGAAGGGAGGGGAAGGGAGGACGAGCGAGGAGGAAGAAAGGGAGGAAAAAGGGAAGGGGAAGAGGGAGAACGAAGAAGGAGGGGAAGGAAGAGGTAGGAGAGAAAAGGAGGAGGTGGCGGCGGGTGGTGGTGTGTGATGGTGGCTGGTGGTGGTGCTGGGTGATGGATATAGAAGAAAATAGGGGACATTTTTATTATTTTTTTAGTGCATTTGAGATGTGTTGTGTTTTTTAAAATTTTTTAAAGTTGTTTTTAAAGTTTATTGTTATAGGCTTGAAAGACAAAAATAATTATTCAAAAAACTTTTAAATCCAAACGCAGCCACCACCCATTATTAAACAGACACTTGAAATCGTAAAACACGTCTTTTCCTGGAACGTTCACTCTCACAACAAAGACGTCCTCTTCCAGCAAAACTATCCTAAAAGCACAATCCAAATTGGTACCGTCGTCTTCTCATAAAACGACATTTAGGCTTTGACAAAACAAATTCCAACTAGTTCACTAATGTTCAAAATCGCACGAAACCCACGATGCCTGACTTTCAGCCATACATGCTTGAATATCTTATGTGGAAAATAATGGAGATTATTTGGAATAGTTTTTTAAAAAAAAAATACTGTAACACTTTATATGATATGATGTACATGAGATAAAAAAGTGGTTAAAAAACATGTTCATGATGCAATTAAATAATTCTTTAGCAAATAAGAGCCTATCCAAACACAATCCAATGTATGTTTTTTGAAGAGGAGATTTTTGAAAAAAAAATTTAGAATAATATTGCAGTTTTTTTTTTTTGAAATGCGATATAAGTGTGGCAAAAAAAATATGGTTAAAAAAAAAAAAAGATGATCGAAAACGTGTTACTATGCAATAAAAAAATTTTGCAAATAACATATCCAAGCAAAGGAATATTAGAGCCGTGAAACATTTGAGATGACTCAAAACACATAAAAAGACAAATGATATTTGATGATGGGCTGAGTCATGTGACTGAATACAATTTATGTACCTAGCGTAAGTCACAAGCATCACTAGGATACAAACCAAACATGTAACATCTTTATTTATTTATTCAAGAACCTATGCAACAGTTCCAATCACGTGTACACACTACATACAAAATGAGCTGACAAAGGGGTGTTTGAAAAATCAAATGCGTCTGCCAATCTACATAAGGCCTCCGAGGACAAAGATACCGAGTACGAGGCTTGATTTTGATATCGTATATGATATTAAGGTTGAATATATGTAAATATATAAAATTTAAATTGCGATTGTCGTCATATATTCATATGACAGATTAATTCAT